GCTGGCATAAGAACGCCAGGTGCGGTGGCTCACATATGTAATCCCAGCACTTTGGGAGGCCAAGGCAGGTGGATCACCTGAGGTAGGGAGTTCAAGACTGGCCTGGTCAACATGGTGAAACCTTGACTCTACTAAAAATACAAAAATTAGCCAGGTATGGTGACATGTGCCTGTAATCCCAGCTACTCAGGAGGCTGAGGTAGGAGAATTGCTTGAACCCGGGAGGCAGACGTTGCAATGAGCAGAGATCAGGCCATTGCATTCCAGCCTGGGCAACAAGAGCGAAACTCCATTAAAAAAGAAAAAAAAAAGGCAGGCTGGGCGCAGTGGCTCATGCCTATAATCCCAGCACTCTGGGAGCCTGAGGCAGATGGATCACGAGGTCAAGAGATCGAGACCATCCTGGTCAACAAGGTGAAACCCTGTCTCTACTAAAAATACAAAAATTAGCTGGGCATGGTGGCAGGTGCCTGTAATCCCAGCTACTCAGGAGGCTGAGGTAGGAGAATTGCTTGAACCCAGAAGGCGGAGGTTGCGGTAAGCTGAGATCGTGCCATTGCACTCCAGCCTGGGTAACGAGCAAAACTCCGTCTAAAAAAAAAAAAAAAAAAAAAAGGCATAACATACATGAACAGGAGAAAAGCATATGTTGAATGTAAGTTTTTCATGACCTGGGAGCCTTCATAAGAAAACGAACACCCAAAAAAGCAGCAAAACCTGAATGCTTTCATGTGAGGTTGAACAACGAGATGAGTGGGAAAGTGACTGAATGATGTGGGCAGGCTCAAGGAAGACAAGCATTATTTGAACAAGGTCTGCGGGTACATCACTCTCATGGCTGCCCATCCCCTTTGAAGAATGTTTCTTTTTTCCTGGTACCAGGAGGGCATCCTCCACATGGGTGTTTGGTTTTTGTTTTTGTTTTTGAGATGGAGTCTTGCTCTGTCGCCAGGCTGAAGTGCAGTGGTGTAATCTCAGCTCACTGCAACCTTAACCTCCCAGGTTCAAGCTATTCCCCTGCCTCAGCCTCCTGAGTAGCTGGGACTATAGGCGCCCACCACCATGCCCGGCTAATTTTTTGTATTTTAGTAGAGACAGGGTTTCACCATGTTGGCCAGGATGGTTTTGATCTCTTGACCTAGTGATTCGCCTGCCTTGGCTTCCCAAAGTGCTGAGATTACAGGCATGAGCCACCACACCTGGCACACGTGTGTTTTTATCTCTCTCTTTTTTTTTTGCAACAGGGTCTTGCTCTGTTATCCAGCCTGGAATGTAGGCATGATCTTGGCTCACTGCAACTTCTGCCTCCTGCGTTCAAGTGAGTCTCCTGCCTCAGCCCCCGGAGTAGCTGGGATTATAGGTGTCCACCACCGTGCCCAGCTAAATTTTTGTAGTTTTAGTAGAGACAGGGTTTCGCCACGTTGGCCAGGCTGGTCTTGAACTCCTGACCTCAGGTGATCTGCCTGCCTTGGCTTCCCAAAGTGCTGGGATTACAGACCTGAGCCACCATGCCCAGGCTTGATCTCCGGTTTCAGGAAGGAAAGGGGAGATGAGAACGCTTTTCTTGGATCTACTCTCTCTCAAGTGTAGCTCCAAGTAATCCTCATGCCAACATGGCGAATTTGGGGAGATCCTATTGACCCCCCTTCTCCATCAGCTGCTGAATGTATAACAAACTGTGGCATATTCATACAATCGAATATTGCTCAGCCATTCATCCCTTTTTATGTATGCTGGCTGGGTGAGGGTGGCTCATGCCTGCAATCTTAGCACTTTGGGAGGCCAAGGTGGGAGGATCATTTGAGCCCAAGAGTTTAAGACCAGCCTGGGCAACACAGTGAGTCCCCATCTCTACAAAAAATGTAAAAAACTTTTGTTCATACACACCTGTAATCCCAGCTGCTCAGGAGGCTGAGGTGGGAAGACCGCTTGAGCCCCAGAGCTCAAGGCTGCAGTGAGCCATGATGGAGCCACTGCACTCCAGTGCTACGTCTGTCTTGCAGACCCTGGCCCACAGATGAAATGAGTCCTCAGACACAGGTATGCAGTGTAAGAACAGCAGGGTGACTGCCTGGCTCTCGCAGCCAGAGAGCAGCCCCGAGAAGCTGGAGCTGCGTGCTTTTATTCAGTGCAGGCAGAATGCCGAAAACCTGGAGCAAACACAACCTGTAGGTAATTCACATTTACTGTTCCCCTTTCAGGGAACCTCCAGCTCAGATGATCAAAGGTCAGTCCTGGTCCATATAAGTAAGCAAGGCTGTTTGAGATAAATTCCCCTACACTCTCTTGTACCTACTCCTTGCCCTCTGCCTCAAGGTTATAGAACAGCTGCCTTCAGCTTTTCTCCCCTGCAGTTCTGCAAAACCTTCTGACCTTTCAAAAGGTTTTTGTCAGCCGGGCGCGGTGGCTCATGCCTGTAATCCCGACACTTTGGGAGGCCGAGGCGGGTGGATCATGAAGTCAGGAGTTCGAAACCAGCCTGGCCAACATGGTGAAACCCCGTCTCTACTGAAAGCACAAAAATTATCTGGGCATGATGGCAGGTGCCTGTAATCCCAGCTACTCAGGAGGCTGAGGCAGAAGAATGGCTTGAATCTGGAAGGCGGAAGTTGTAGTGAGCCGAGATGGCGCCATTGCACTCCAGCCTGGGCAACAAGAGCAAAACTCTGTCTCAAAAAAAAAAAAAAAGTAAGCACCATAAAACAATAAGTAAGGCCAGGCGCGGTGGCTCACGCCTGTAATCCCAGCACTTTGGGAGGCCGAGGCAGGTGGATCACAATGTCAAGAGATCGAGACCATCATGGTCAATATGGTGAAACCCCGTCTCTACCAAAAATACAAAAAATTAGCTGGGCATGGTGGCGCGTGCCTGTAATCCCAGCTACTCAGGAGGCAGAGGCGGGAGAATTGCCTGAACCCAGGAGGCGGAGGTTTCGGTGAGCCGAGATCGCGCCATTGCACTCCAGCCTGGGTAACAAGAGCGAAACTCCGCCTCAAAAATAAATAAATAAATAAATAAATAAAACAAAATTCTGAAAAATTGCAAACACAGTAGTTGGAAATACAGCACCATTTGAGTAAGTTGCCGATGTGAAGCCCCACGAGCTCTGAATACTCTAATGGGAATTCTCTATTAAGTAGGACTACGGTCAGCACCCAGCACTATCAGAAAGTCAGCACTGAGTCCCCGCTGCCATCATCAGCTCTTCAGACCCCATTCGAGCTGTGCCAGGCGCTCCAATCACATCCCTCGCAGCAGAGCACCCGCCCCGGAAATCACAGAGTGCGGTCATCGTGTCTCTTTGCTTCCATTCCCTCGTCTGGAATAGGTGCTCTGGCATCCTTTGTCCCTCAGGAGCCCGACGCTGTTGGGGGTTATGGGTCAGCGTGATGTCTCCTCATCTGTAGATTAGTCTTATCTGCAAGTTCACCATTTCTGGCAGAAGAAGAGCCCCAGAAGTGGCGCTGTGCACATCCCATCAGGGGCACTTGATTTCCCCTTGTTTCCTTACTGGTGACGTTGAGATGAATCACTTGGGTATCTGCTCGGTTTCACCATAAAATTAATTTTTTTTTTTTTGAGACAAAGTCTCGCTCTGTCACCCAGGCTGGAGTGCAGTGTGATTCACCCGCCTCAGCCTCCCAAAGTGCTGGGATTACAGGCATGAGCCACTGTGCCCAGCCTGTATATATTTTATCATATTTTTTTAAAAAGAGGTGGGGCGGGGAGTAATCCCAACACTTTGAGAGGCTAAGGCAGGAGGATTGCTTGAACCCAGGAGTTAATGACCAGCCTGGGTAACATAGTTAGACCCTGTCTCTGAAAAATAAAAAAATTAGCCAAGCATGTTGGTGCAGGCCTGTGGTCTCCGCTACTCAGGAGGCTGATATGGGAGGATTGCTTGAGCCTGGGAAGTGCAGCCTGCAGTAAGCCAAGATCGAACCACTGCACTCCATCCTGACAGTGAGACCCTGTCTCAAAAAGGAAAGAAAAGGCTGGGCGTGGTGGCTCAAACCTGTAATCCCAGCACTTTGGGAGGCTGAGGTAGATGATGAGGTCAGAAGTTCAAGACCAACCTGACCAACATGGTGAAATCCCATCTCTACTAAAAATAAAAAATTAGCTGGGCATGGTGGTGGGTGCCTGTTAGCTACTCAGGAGGCTGAGGCTGAGGCTGAGGCAGGAGAATGGCTTGAACCCAGGAATTGGCGGTTCCAGTGAGCCGAGATTGTGCCACTGTACTCCAATCTAGTGACAGAGTGAGACTCCACCTCAATAAGTAAGTAAATAAATAAATAATAAAAAGAGTCCAAACCTGCCCCACCAAGTAACCCACTCCTCAAACCATTAGCTCATGCTAATGCCTCCACTTTCAATCCAGCTCCACGGGGCTGATGCCTGCCTCTCCCTTTCTGTATCTGTAACTCCCTCCCTGAGAAAGAAAGCAGTTCCAGTCCTCATCCCTGACCCTCACACGGCACCTCCCTGAAAGGCCGGTTCCAATGCCCCTCAGTGCGCACCTACCCCACACAAGCGACCTCCTCCCCTGCTGGGAGCTCAGGTTCCCTCCCACGTGTCCTGCTGGCCCTTCTCACCCCACTGGGCACTTCAGGGCAGCCTCTGCTCAGTCCTCCTCACCTGCTCAGTCCTGACCCCCAAACACCTCCCCCAAGGATGTCCCACCCCAGTCAGCCGATTCAGGGCCACCATGACCTTGCTCAGCCCCATATAATGGCTTTAGGGCCTAATTGTTCAGCAAAGGAAGGAAAGGAAGAAGAAAAGGCCAAGTATGTGTTTTACCGTGTAAGCACTGAAATTCACAAGAATCACTTGGAAATTTACAGGAATTACTTGGAAGAGTTTATAGAGCAATTGAAACACTTGAAAATGAATAACCTGTAAAATTATGCATTCAGTTTTCAATATTTAAGAGAGAGAGTTTAATTAACTAGATTTATAAATGGAACTGAACACTAGAGAATAGGCTTCTTAGCAGCCATTGGATTGTTCTATTAATATTTATTATATTTATAAAACTAGAGTTGTAAGATTTCCAGTGGGCATAAAAGCTTAAGAACAAAGTGAAAGTGAGATTTCTGGATTGTTTGTTGGTTTGTTTTTGAGATGGAGTCTTGCTCTGTCACCTAGGTTAGAGTACAGCGGTGCGACCTCGGCTCACAACACCCTCCGCCTGCTGGGTTCAAGTGATCCTCCCGCCTCAGTCTCCCAAGTAGCTGGGATCACAGGCATGTACCACCATGCCCAGCCATTTTCTCTCTCTCTTCCTTTTTTTTTCGTATTTTTAGTAGAGACAGGGTTTCACCATGTTGGCCAGGCTGGTGGTCTCAAATTCCTGATCTCAGGTGATCCACTCGCCTTGGCCTCCCAAAGTACTGAGATTACAGGCGTGAGCCACCACGCCTGGCCAAGAACAAAGTGAGATTTCTTTTTTTTTGAGACGGAGTTTCACTCTTGTTACCCAGGCTGGAGTGCAATGGTGCAATCTTGGCTCACCGCAGCCTCTGCCTCCTGGGTTCAGGCAATTCTCCTGCCTCAGCCTCCTGAGTAGCTGGAATTACAGGCACGCGCCACTGTGCCCAGCTAATTTTTGTATTTTTAGTAGAGACGGGGTTTCACCATGTTGACCAGGATGGTCTCGATCTCTTGACCTTGCTATCCACCCGCCTTGGCATCCCAAAGTGCTGGGATTACAGGCGTGAGCCATCGCGCCCGGCACAAAGTGAGATTTCTAAGTGTCATTTTCATCATCAGAATGTTGATTTACAAAAAGCAGCCCCTGAATTACCTTCACTGTGTACAAAAAATAACCAAAATATCACCAACAAAATGACGTTCATGGAGCCTGAATTTCAAATCTCTGCAGCCACCTGGTGTGCAAGTAACTACTTTTCATCTGAATTATTTCCTAAAAGAGGCATAAAGTCAGAAAAATCAGTCTACTCCCCCTTCTTTATTTTGAGACAAATGAACTTTGGTGGCTATTCAATGCTCAGGAGTAGCCAGGGACAGTGGCTCACACCTGTAATCCCAGCACTTTGGGAGGCTGAGGCAGACAGATCGCTTGACTCTGGGAATTCAAGACCAGCCTGGGCAACATGGTAAAACCCTCTCTCTACAAAAACCACATAAACAATTAGTCAGGTGTGGTGGCATGTGTCTGTAGCCCCCGCTACTTGGGAGGCTGAAATGAGAGGATTGCTTGAGCCCAGGAGCTTGGAAGGCTGAGGCTGCAGTGGGTAGAGATTCTACCACTACACTCCACCCTGGGTGACCGAGTGAGACCCCATCTCAAAAAGGTCAGGAGTGACAATGGCCAGTGGCTTCCTGGAACAAGAGGAGAGGCCACTATTTGCTGGACTCCAGGAAACTTAATTGAGGAGGTGGTTAGATAGGTCTCCACATTTCTCAAAATCAGTGAACTGTACCTTTAATATCCGCATCTTTTATTTTATGGGAAGGATACCTTGATAAAAATACTATTGAGAAATACATATATTATTATTATTACTACTATTATTATTAGACATTTTTTGAGACTGAGTCTTGTTCTTGTTGCCCAGGCTGGAGTGCAATGGCACGAACTCAGTTCACTGCAATCTCTGCCTCCCAGGTTCAAGTGATTTTCCTGCCTCAGCCTCTCAAGTAGCTGGGACTACAGGTGTGCGCCATCACACCCAGTCTATATTAACTATTTAAAATTGAAAAAAAGGCCGGGCGTGGTGGCTCATGCCTATAATCCCAGCACTTTGGGAGGCCGACGCGGGTGGATCACAAGGTCAAGAGATCGAGACCATCCTGGTCAACATGGTGAAACCCCGTCTCTACTAAAAATACAAAAATTAGCTGGGCATTAGTGGCACGCGCCTGTAGTCCCAGCTACTCAGGAGGCTGAGGCAGGAGAATTGCTTGAACCCAGGAGGCGGCGGTTGTGGTAAGCCGAGATCGCGCCATTGCACTCCAGCCTGGGTAACAAGAGCGAAACTCCGTCTCGAAAACAAATAAAATAAAATAAAATTGAAAAAAAGCAGCTGAGCACAGTGGCTCACACCTGTAATCCCAGCACTTTGGGAGGCTGAGGCAGCTGGATCACCTGAAATCAGGAGTTCAAGGCCAGCCTGGCCAACATGGTGAAACCACGTCTCTACTAAAAATATAAATATTAGCCAGGCGTGGTGGCAGGCACCTGTACTCCCAGCTACTGGGGAGGCTGAAGCAGGAGAATCACTTGAACCTGGAAGGCAGAGGTTGCAGTGAGCTGAGATGGCACCACTGCGCTCCAGCCTGGGTAACAAAGCAAGACTCCACCTCAAAAAAAAAGAAAAAAGCCTCATGAAAACATTTCAGGCTGGGCACGGTGGCTCATGCTTGTAATTGCAGCACTTTGGGAGGCTGAGGTGGGAGGATCACGAAATCAGGAGTTCAAGACCAGCCTGACCAATATGGTGAAACCCCATCTGTACTAAAAATACAAAAATTAGCTAAGTGTGGTAGCGTGTGCCTGTAATCCCAGCTACTCAGGAGGCCGAGGCAGGGGAATCGATTGAACCCGGGAGGTGGACGTTGCAGACCACGCCACTGCACTCCAGCCTGCAGAACAGAGACTCTGTCAAAAAAAAAAAAGAAGAAAAAAATATTAAAACTGATGAGAAAGATAACCAACACTAACTAATGAATAAGAACCCATCAAGGATGCACATCTCAGTGATGGGAAAGCCCTTTAGACTGATAACAGATCGACTGCAATAGTTTGGCCAATCACTTAAGGCAAGTTGGGACTTGCAGGCTGGCTGGGTGTGAAGTCATACCCAGCTGCAGTGAAGAAATAATAGAAAGATATTCATGGAAACAATAGCAAGGTACAGAATGATGCATCAAGTAATATAAGGAGTGTCTTTTCTTTTCGTTTTGTGGACAAGGTCTCACTCTGTTGCCCAGGCAGGAGTGCCCTGGTGCGATCATAGATCACTGTAGCCTCTGACCTCCTGGGCTCGTGATTCTCCTGCCTCAGCCTCCCAAGTAGCGATTACAGGCAGTGTTTCCCCACATTGAGCTGTTTTATTTTTAGTAGTGACGAGGTCTTGCTATGTTGCCCAGGCAAGAGTATCTTCTTTATTATTTTTATGATGATGATGATGATTGATTTTTTTTTAGATGGAGTCTCTCTCTTTGTCACCCAGGCTGGAGTGCAGTGGTGCGATCTCCGCTCACTGCAACCTCCACCTCCTGGGTTCAAGCAATTCTCCTGCCTCAGCCTCCTGAGTGGCTGGGATTACGGGTGTGTGCCACCACCCCCAGCTAATTTTTTGTATTTTCAGAAGAGACAGGGTTTCACCATGTTGGCCAGGATGGTCTCGATCTCCTGACCTCGTGATCTGTCCACCTCAGCCTCCCAAAGTGCTGGGATTACAGGCGTGAGACATGGCCACCGTGCCTGGCCCAAGAGTGTGTTCTTTATAATGGTGAATAATGTTAGAATGATGGAGTCCACCATTCAAGGGAGCACTCTCAGGAACTCACTGAGCTGGGCTGGTGCTGTGATCACCTGACACCCTGTGTCCTCTCTGTCCGTGTCCATGACGTGTCCTTGGCACAGAGAACCCTCTGGAGCCCAGGGCCTGGCTGCTTCCTTGGGTGAGAGGTGGCCCCTGTCTAAGCCTCAGTTTTGTCCTCTGCAGAATGGGGGTGCTTGCAGCCCCCCACCAAAATGCAGCTGCCAGCCTTCCTCTCTGAGCGCATGTTCCCGAGTTCCCGAGCTTGGTGCCTTCGAGTGTGTGGGGAGGAGGAGAGAGGCCCAGGGCCTGGGAGGCAGAGGGTGGAGGATGGTTCCGACTCTGACATCTCCACCCAAACTTCCCACTGCCAGCCTGCTGGGTGGGGCAGGAGCTGGAGTGGAGGGTGGAAAAAGTCCAGGAGGGCTGCTGGGCTGCTAAGAGCAGATTCTGCTCAGCTCCCACACCATCCCTGCCTTCCAGAAACATCTTTCAGCCCTACCCACCCCTCCCCCAAGCCAGTTCCCCAACCTGGAATTCTCTTCCAGAGTCGGGCCCAACGGGGCTGTTTCGGTACTGGCAGGATGGTCTTTATCTTGCTCTGCTTTTGATCTAGGTGGTGATGGGGTCGTGGGTGGACCAGCAGCTCATCCTGCAAACTTGGTGGGATGATGGTAGCGATGCTGGAAAGAGGAACAAGAGAGACTTGAAAAAGAAAAGTGGGACAGGAATATGAGGTAGACAGAGTTAGAGAAAGACACGGACAGAGCGAGGCAGCCAGCCCCAGAGACAGAACCCAGAGGAGAGGCACACCCAGAGGTCAGGAGAGCCAGAGGTCAGGGCAGAGGGTGCCTTTGGCAAATCCCTTCCCATCCCAGCCTCAGCCTTCTCTGCACAATGGAAGTGACCCGTGTTCCTCCCTCCTGGAATTATGGGGTCCCAATCCGTGATCTCCTGCATATCCTGGGCAGCCCAGGGACCTAGGAAATGACAGGTATAGTCCCAGTCCATCCCCTCCTTTCACCCCTCCTCACTGAGGACTTCCCACGAGCCGGGTACACTCCAGGACCCAGGGGTGCAGTGCTGAGCAGATCAGGCAGCACCCCTGCCCCCGCCCCTGTGAAGCCACCCCGTCTGTCACTATCGCTGTTGTTGTGGCTGCTGTTCCCTTACAGAGGTGGAAGCTGCGATTTCAGCTCGGACACCCCTGGTCCAGGCAGGAGGTTCTCAGCTGGAGAGAAGGGTCTGGAGTTCCCACTCAGACTGGCCTCCCAGGACCGACTATGTCTGTGAATAAAATGAGAAATTACTTCTTTCAGACAGGTCTGCAAAGAACAAATAAATACATAAAATGAGATAGAGGCTCTCCGTGTGCCAGGCAGCGGGAAGACAGGTCTGGAGGGGCAGTGGGACAAGGAGACTTCTCTGCTATGAGTTTATTATTATTAAACAGTCCCTCTTATTATCAGCTCCTAGGAGGGGGCAGTGAACACGGGCCCTGGGTGGTGGAGGGGAGCAGGGCTCCCAGGAAGAGGTGCAGCTCCCACCTCCCCAGCCTTGCCCCAGGGCCAGGGTCTGTGCCAGGTGTGGGTGGTGGGTGGGAAGGGGTGGGGTGAGTCATCAGGACCAGCCCCACCCTACTTGTACTTAAGGTCCCCAGCAGTCCCCATCACCATGGCTGCCTGACTCTGTCCCAGCCATGTCCGTGAGTGCTCCAGGGGCCCAGGGTGGGGCCATGGAGGAGGGGGACTGGGGCTCCCCTTTCAAGGGAGCAAGTGGGCAGTGGGTGCACTGTGGGTGGTCCCGGGTTGTGGCCTCTAGATGGCCCCCGATCCTGACTGTCCCCTCTCCCTCTTCCTGGCTCCCTCTGGGTCCCTCTTTGAGCATGTTCCTGTTTTTCTCTGTTGCTCTCCCCATCTCTTTCCCTGTCTATTTCTGGTCTCTTTCCTGCCTCTCTGCCCCCCTTTTCTCTCCCACTGATTCCTGCCAGTCTCCGTCATGGTCAGCTCCCCTGAGGGGTGACCCACCTTCTGCCTCCCTCCGTCTCACCGGCTCAGTGGCCCTCGAACCCCATTCTTGCAGAACGTCCCCCACAAGACCTCGCTGCCCGAGGGCATCCGCCCTGGCACAGTGCTGAGAATTCGTGGCGTGGTTCCTCCCAATGCCAGCAGGTGAGGCCCCAGGCCCTAGGAGTAAAGGGTGCAGGTCCCAGGCTCAGCTGACCCCCAATTCTTGCAGTCCAGAAATAGGGGCCCTGGGCCATCTGTACCCACCAGGCTAGGAGTCCAAGGCTATTTCTGACCTCAAATCTGATGTATTTACTTATTGTCCCATGTCTTTGTGGCTGGAGTCCCTAAGTTTCCCTAAGAATTTGGGGGTCCTGGGCAATCTCAGGGTTCCTAGATATAGTCCTGTGACTTCCATGTCTGGGTCCCGGGGAACTCTAGAAATACTCCGAGTCCTGGAGATACCCTGGACCCTGGGAGTCCTTGCCAAGCTGTCCTTTGCTTCCTAAGGAACTTTGGGCCTTCTGGGTTCTGGGTACCCTGGAAATACTGGGGTTCCCGATATTGTTCTTTGTCCTGTAGAACCGGAGGGTTCCCTGGGCAGCAGGAACACCCAGGCCAACACCCAAACTTCCTGGGCAGCTCCCAGGCTCTCTGGAAAGGAGGGCGCCCTGCGCATAGTGACCTTAGTATGGGTGGGTTCCCCCCAAGGGCCTCATGACATTTCGGCTGCCTTCAGATTTGGGCTCCCTGGCCATTACTCTGCCACCTCCCCTTCTGTGGTGTGTGCCTGTCTTCAGGTCCCTGTCAATTTGGGGGTGCTCTGGGAATGAGGAGTCCCAGCCCATTAGCTCTTGACTTTGCTCTGGGTGGTTTCTGAGCCCTGACTGCCACCATCCCCCATTTCCAGGTTCTACATAAACCTGCTGTGCGGGGAGGAGCAGGGCTCCGACGCGGTTCTGCATTTCAACCCCCGGCTGGACACCTCCGAGGTGGTCTTCAACAGCCTGGAGCAAGGCTCCTGGGGCCGCGAGGAGCGCGGGCCGGGCGTTCCCTTCCAGCGCGGGCAGCCCTTCGAGGTGCTCATCATCGCGTCCGACGACGGCTTCAAGGTGCGTCTCTGCGACAAGAGCATGGACGCCGAGACCTAGGTCCCTGGAGCAGAGTGTTCCGCGCAGCATCGGGATACAGAAAAGGCCAGGAGGGCGGAGGGGTGCAGGAGGCGTGGCCAAGGCGGGACCGGCGCGTCCCCAGAACCCCTCTCTCTCGCCTAAGCAACTCGAGGCGAGCCCCAGCCGGGTACCCAAGGGGTAGGCGCGCTAGCGGGAAGCCGTGGCCCAGACTCGCCATCCCCCACACTACTCCCAGTTCCTTGTGCCTGAGGTCCGGGCTCGGAGGCAGGGGGAGGGATGGGTTGGAGGCCGCGCTCAGGAAACTCGTCCTAGCAAGGATAGGATTGGGGGGGCGGCAAATCCCCCACCACCCAGGCCTTACGCGAGTTCACCTCCCTCCTCTGCGCTTTCATAGACGGTAATGGTCTCGGAATTAAGAATATCCATTACCAGCACTAAAAAAGCCGGTTTTATGCTGTGCCACACAGTAAGCTGGTTTGACCCTGAAGACAAGAGTTAGAAAGAACAACAGCCCCATTTTCCCAGTGGGGAAACTGAGGCCCAGAGGGGGTGAGTGATTTCCCCAGGGACACCCAGCACGGGCCTCCGGAATCCTCACCAGCGACCCTCCCCTGCAGGCCGTGGTCGGGGACGCCCAGTACCATCACTTCCGCACCGCCTGCCGCTGGCGCGCGTGCGCCTGGTGGAGGTGGGCGGGGACGTGCAGCTGGACTCGGTGAAGATCTTCTGAGCAGGCGCTCAGGCGGGTCCGGGGCCTTGGAAGGCAAATAAAGCGTGAGCTCGAAGCGCGCCTGTGTCTGTGTCCGGTTCACTGAGATGAGCAAAGTGAGGCCCAGAGAGGCCAAGATACTGGCTGCGGGCCACACAGCGAATCTGAGGCAGGGGGCGGGCTTGGAACCTGCGTGTGCTTAGGACACATTTTGTCTACCAAGACCTGAGGGTCGCCATCTGGGAGGGAGTGGGCCTGGGGCGTGTCTGATACAGCATTTGTGTAAGCCAGCCAGGCGGGAATGCGGTGGGCGGATCTGTTGGCGTTAGGGCGCGGAGGTGCCCACTTCAAGTCTCGGTGCCCCCACCGCAGATCTAAGGGGCGCCAACATGGGTCCATCCGCAAAGGGGGCCAATGAATCCCACCTTTCTGGTCACCTGTGGACCCCAACTGTACGCGCGGAAAGCGTGTTATCCCGGGTCCCTTCTCCCCTCTGCCCCTCATCTCTCCACCCTCTTCTCTCCTGGCCTCCCGCCCCCAGAGTCGTCCCGGGTGGGGCTGAGCAGCCCATGGGCGTCTCCCGGCTCTGGCTGTTCCCGGAGTCCCGACAGGTACCCGCCTGCGCAGCCTCGGGGCAGACGCGATGGCAGCGGCCCGGGCTGTGCGGCGCAGCGGGAGGACTCGAAGGGCGGCTCGGGGTTTCCGTGGGCAGCGAGCCCATTCCCACGTGCCCTCCGCCCTCCCCGGCGGCCCGGACCCCGGCCCAGCCCTGGTCACTGTGATGGGAGGGGAAGCGGGCTCCAAGTGCAGCCCCGGCCTCAGTGTCACTTTCCCGGGTTCAGGGTTGTCGGTGGGGTTCCCCGTAGTGGCGGGGTTGGGGTGGGGAGGGCTGGGAGCCCTGTGCGCCCCGAGCCGAGCCCGCACCGTCGCCCTGCAGCGGCCGCAGGTCTCAGCTGGAGACCGAGGAGCCAGGCCGGGGCTGCGAGCGGAAGCTGCACTTGGGTGCTCGTGGCCAGTCGCTCCCGAACCTTCGTCCTGAGCCACGCCTTGGTGGGGCGCTCCGGGCGTGGGCCCCGATCCTCCGACCCCCTGGCGGCCGCCGCCCGCATTGCAGTCTGGACCGAGGCGGACGCAGGAAGCTCAGGTGGTTCCTGGCCTGGCCTGAATCTGATCCTGGAGTGGGGTGGGGACTTCAAGTTCGCCGCGGGGCCCAGGCGTGTGCAGGACCCGGGTTTTTCGGCCCCTGAGACCCTCAGGCTGGGCGGCCCCTTCCTGCGCCCCGCCCTGGAGCGGGTGGGGGCGGTCAGAATGGAGCCCCGCTCAGGTCAGGAGGCCTGGGAGAGGCCGGGTTTTCCTAGTCCTCAGGGCTCCTGCCTGAATGAATTCACTTTTATTTCATTTCGCTGTGTCGAGTGGTTTCAAAATACTATTTTTTCCCCCGTAAAGATAACATACGCATGTGGTACACATTTAAAACATTAAGCGACAAGACATATTATTGGCACAAGTGGTGAATGCGGTTAGGCCTTCGGATTAGATGAGAGCGATCCAGCCGTGCTCACGTTCCCGTTTTGACCGTGTCTGCCAGTGGACATGTGGGAACGTATCCTAGTTTGTGGAAAACACAGGTAGCTGGGTGCGGTGGCTTCCACCTGTAATCCCAGCACTTTGGGAGGCGGAGGCAGGCGGATCACCTGAGGTCAGGAGTTTGAGACCAGCCTGGCCAACATGGTGAAACCTCCTCTCTACTAAAAATACAAAGATGAGCTGGGTGTGGTGGCAGGTGCCGATAATCCCAGCTACTGGTGAGGCTGAGGCTAGGAGAATCGCTTGAATTCGGAAGGCAGAGGTTGCAGTGAGCTGAGATCTCACCACTGCCCTCTAGCCTGGGCAACAAGAGAAAAAATCCGTCTAAAAAAAAAAAAAGGATAATCAAGAGATGAATGAATGGATAATTGGATAGAGATGGAAAAGTGATGAATGGGTGAATGGAGGGATGAATGGCATATGGAGGACAAATGGATGAATGTGATGGAAAGCAGAGAATTACATGGACAATGGAGGGATGAAGAAATGAATGGATGGATGAAAGGTGGATGTAAGGATGACCGAATGAATAGATGGACTGGTAGAGGATTAGATATTTGGACGGATGGGGAAGATGATGGATGGGCGATGGATAAAAGGTTGAATGAATGAATGAATGGACAACAGCAGGATAGAGAGAGCTAGATGGACTGGGTGGATGTTGGGTGAACATACGATTGATTATATGTTTGGGAGAGATTGACAATGAGATAGGTGTGTGCAGAGGTCAATGGATGGGTAGATGGATAAAGGGTTGGATGAAAGGACAGTTAACTATCATACCAATAGATGGATTGATGAGTGTCTAGATAGTAGGATGTTTGATTGCTGGGTGGTCGGATAGACTTTTGTTTGGCTACCTGGAGAGACTGATTGCATATTGGGATGGATGAGTGGAGAGATGGAGCCATGGAGGGATGGAATGACAGGCTGTATAGTGGTTTAGTGTGCAACCTTGGGAGCCAGACCAACTGGATTTGCATCCTTCTGCCACTTATGCACTGTGCAATTTGGGGCCATTGGTTTTCTTTCCTTTGTCTCCTCATCTGTTACAGAGGGAGGATAATAATGGTTTCTACCTCTTGGGGTTGCTGTGAGGAGTGAATGAGCCCTAAATCCGTGCTTGGGGCATAACCAGATCTATGACGACGGGAGGATGAATGGTCAGATGACTAGATGGATGAACGATAGATGAAGTGCATGACTGAACCAAGGAAGGGAAAGAGTAGTGAGGGAGCAAATGGACACTCTCATCAGACTCCCTCAGGACATTTTATTAGGGGCTTAGAAAGGAGTCCTAGGAAATCTTTGTTTTTCCCATGAGTTACAGCCCCAGGAATAGATTAGATCTGGACATAAGACACGGTGACATCACCAAGGACCTCCACTGTGGTCCACCCTCTGGAAGGCCAAGATGCGATGGGTGAAGTCGAAGAGGTGCTGACCATTGGCAAAAAACCTTGAAGCGATCCAAGCCACAGCGAATGGACAGCTGCAGGGCGAGGGCAGGTGTGAGGCAGGGTCCAGGACGCGTCTTTGGAAGGAGGTGGGAAAAGAGAGCCCAGACTCACATCAAGAACTGTCCGGGACCAAACGGGTTTGTGGAGATGTTCCTCTCCTCGGATCCCACACGAGCCATTCACCAGGCTGTTCCGGACCACGGTTCCATCGCCCATGCGGGGATTAATGTGCAGAGCTATGTCACCCTGAGGAGCCACCTTGAAGTTGATGGTAAAACTGGGGACAGAGAGGGAAGGGGGAGTCAGAGGGAGCCCAGGGGGGAGGGGCTTCTGGACTAAATCTCTGGGTCCCTAAAGGAGGAGGGGGCAGAGGGGTCTAGACTGTTGGGTCTGAGGAAGGAGGGGCTGGGGGCTCCCACCTAGGCCTATGCTCCATACCTCTTGCCTGTGGGGGGCACAGAGCCCTTGATGATGATAGTTCTTCGAGCTGTGAGCCCTCCTTGCAGCCTCCCGAAATACGGCACAGGCTGAGGGAAGAGACGAGGGGCCCCATTCTCTCTCAGCTTAGCAAGCCAGATGTGGGAAAAATTTTCCTTTTCCTTTCCTCTCTTTTCCTCTCCTCTCCTTTCTTTTCCTCTCTTCTCCCTCCCCTCCCTTCCCCTTTCCTTTCTTTTTTCTTATAGAGATGGGGTCTCACTCTGTCACCCAGGCTGGAGGCATGATCGAGCCTCACTACAGCCTCAAACTGCTGGTCTCAGGCAATCCTCCCACCTCAGCCTCCCAAG